GTTGAGCTCTGAAGTGGATCAACTTTACGTTTACCTCAAGACGTACTTTTAAAAACGTTTCTGCCCAAGTCACACAAAGAAACAAGAATGGAGGAAAGCGTTAAGTACAATCAATCGTACCTTTACTGTTCTATAAAACGCAGCAACATATGAAAAATGGTGGCGTTTAAAGGTCAACCCTCTAGATTTTTAGTGCCAACGGTACAGGTTGTATCAAGTTGGGTTAGAAATAAAGCACTTGCGTAAAGCTTTCAGAACTGGGCCACACAGGCGCTTTTCACCAACAGCTTTCAACCAGTGGCCCCCCTGGAGAGGCCACGGGCACCCTCTGCCTTGGAGGGCCACTGGTTGAAAGCTGTTGGTGAAAAGCGCCTGTGTGGCCCTCCAAGGCAGAGGGTGCCCGTGGCCTCTCCAGGGGGGCCAAGAGCTGCCCCATATGCTATCACATGCATAAAATTTCTTCCAAGTTTTGTGTTCCGACTTAAAAATTAATTTGCATTGCACTCCACAACATTTGTTTAAATACAAAAACACTGTTTAGAATGACTCCCCAAATAATTCCACCACCTCTCCCACCTGGTCTGCACACCAGGGCGGGCAGAGCCCAGCTTGGAAAGCTATTCTCACAGATAGGTGGACCAGGCAGGCAAGAGTGCTTTTCGGGAAGTCTGTCTGGAGCATTTTCACAATGAAGTAACGTTAGTCCCTCAGGTTAGAACTAAATGCTTCAGGAAACAGCGGATTATCAATTTCAACGGATGGAAAAATAAATAGCGAACAACCCCTGTGTTTTAATTTTCAAACAAGGAAATCCGTTAATTTGATTTACTAACAGAGGTGAAAGAAACCCCGTCCCGATCTTTTATTTCTTCCATAGAAAAACACAAATTAGTTTTGTTAAATATAAAAAAGACAACGCAAGACCCACGGAAAGAGGAGACGCTTCTCTCCGCTGGCTCTGCAGAGCTTTTCCCTAGTTTTTGAGCCGACTTTGGTGAATCTGTGTCACCCACTGCAGCCGGACGTGATAATTCAACGCGTCAGGCTACCTTTTTTGGCACTTCGGAAGCACCGCCATCACAAAAGGAAAACTATTCTTCTGATACGGCACTTGTTTTCTCCAGAAGACTAAGCTCTAAAAATCTGCCACCTTGAAGAACACAAATGGTTCACAAGCATATGGTTTTCTGGCTGTCCCACAGGAAGGATGCAGCTTCGCGAGGGGGCTGTGGTCCACCCCCCCCACCCCCACCCCACCGCCCCCCGGCCGGCCGCAGCAGACCAGCCCCACGAGCCCGGTGACACACAGCGCCGGGCCCTGCTGCCAGGTCCCTGAAAGGCATCTGTGGACTTCACTGGTTGTCGTAACGGGTTTCAAGAGACACCCATTTTAAAACAGGTTTCAAGAGTTGTTCACGTTTGGTTTTCAGGTGGCCTCAAAGATGCGTCGGGACGTAGTTAAAATCCCATCTCTGAGTAGGGTATCATCAAAAAGAGAGCTGTTCAAAAAAGTCACAAAAGCAGGAACCTGAGCTTCCCTCATATCTGTTTCTTCGTGGCCGTGCTTTTTCCCATTAACCGTTTAAAAGTCTGAATCAGCAGCAAATATAGCCGTACGTACGTGCGCGTGTGCGTGTGCGTGTGTGTGTACACATTTTGGCTGACTTAAGGGAAATAAAGGTCATTTTGTCTCCTACAAACATTTGCTGCAGGCCCTTCAAGAATGTTCACTTCCCTGCAGGCGGGACAATGTAAGCGTGGACGTTGAAACGCAATTCCGACGGGTGCTCCCTGGCCGGCCCACGTACGGAACGTCCTTGCATCGAGTAGCCCTTAATCAAGGGAGGGTCGACCACACCATTTCGCCGTTGGTCCTTCTGCGCATCATAACGCAGCCAAGTCGCACCCTTGGCACCCACATCCAAGCGGGTCTCTTTCATATTAGCTATAAATTAATCCCGAGGTCTCGGAGCTCTACTTTTCCAGAGTTAGGAACATTGCTCAACTCCCTTCAGAAATATCTTGCAAATTGGCTGGTCCCTAAGCTGAAACAAACAAAAACGTCGAAGGCAAGAAAGAATACGTAAACTGAGAGCTCCACCTGTTACACGCATACACATGCGTTTCCTCTCCAGGTTCTACACAATAAAAGGAGTCACGTCAGCTAATATAGCTTCTAATATCGGCTTCATCTAAAAACTGCCTTTTCCGGGTTTCTTGCCAACATCATACGACACAGCAGTACTTTTTCCACCAGGACTTGGAGAGGTTTTTCATTTTGTCAGGAGTCCTGCTTTTGCGCTTCTTTGGCTGTTGCTGAGTGTCTGAGTACTGAATGCCGGCGACAATGGCCGCGTCAAAGACCTCTTTGAGGTTTTTCTGAGTCAAGGCCGAACACTCGACGTAGGAGGTGGCTTTGATCTCCTCGGCGCACAGCTTAGCTGCCTCTTCAGGGCACCGGCTTCTCTTTGCATTTGTCCAGCTCAATGAGGACTTTGACGTCTTCTCTGAGATCCGACTGAGTTCCAACGAGGACGATGGGGGCTTTGGGACAGTGGCGTCGGATCTCGGGCACCCACTTCTCACTGACGTTCTGGAAGGATGAGGGGCTCACCACACTGAAGCACAGAAGAAAGATGTCCGTGTTGGTGTAGCAGAGGGGCCTGAGTTTGTCAAACTCATCCTGCAACCAATCAAGGCACCCAAAAGTTATTTTTTAAATCCATTCTCGTTAGCAAAAAGACCCCCTTACCAATTTTTTCCTCGCAAAGGGTTATAGAAAGCCCACTGCCAGGGCCTCGGAAAGCAATCCTGCTGCTTCCCTAAATGGGGCCCACACGCCCAGCCCCACTCAACCTGCCCAAAGTGTTCGGTGTTGTCATCAATACTCATGACCCATTTGCAACTCACCACAGAAAAAGTACTTACATCGGGTGAATTTTAGAAATAAAATTGACTTCATCTAGCCTTCAGCCCAGAGTAACCCAGACTTACTCTCTCAACTGTGGTACTTAGCCACTCTTCCAAAACGTAGACAGCATCCACAATGATCCCCAGGTCTCCAAGCTGACCCCAGTGAGCCCCGGTCTAACACAGCTCCTGTCTTCAAGAATCCAGCCCTGCCCTTAGGGTGCCTGGATGGTTCAGTCGGTTACCCGTCCCACTCGGTTTCGGCTCAGGTCATGATCTCACGGTTTTGGGGATTCAAGCCCCTTGTTGGGCTCTGTGCTTACACAGTGGAGCCTGCTTGGGATTCTCTCTCTCTGTCCCTCCCCCAGCCGCTGCCTCTGTCTCTCTCAAAATAAATAAACTTCAAAAAAAAAAAAAAAAAAGAAAAGAATCCAGGCTTGCCTGTCCCCATGACAGCTGTGAGCGACGCCCGCCTCACCTATCTGCACCTGTACACACTCAGGGCACACACAGTGCAGGGAAGAATTTTAATCAGACACAAAGACAGACCCAGAATTGGAGCTGAGACCTCTCATAGGCCACCCTCACTGGCAAATCACTTACAACACTGGTTAACACATTCTCATTCTTGCTTGATGTTCCTCTTTCTTGCTTTATCTCTTTTTCTCCCTCCTTTCTTCCTTTTCTTACTTCCTTTAGCCTTTTTTTTTTTCCCCTGCAAATACCAGGGGCCTCCACGCACGGCGCTTTGGGAAGATAAAGGACCAGGGAAAGGGCATACCCACCCTACTCTTAAAATATAGAGAATTGGATGGAATAATTCTAATTCATTATAAAACCAAGCATCATGCTGAATATCTGCAATAGTCACCCACTTCACAGAGATGCAAGCTGGACACTGGGCCCCGGGCAGGGCCAGGGGATTCACTGGGAACAGACAGACCTGGCCTCAGCCCTTGCAGAGATGTCTGCCTCCAAATCAGCATTTCTTTATAGTCTCCTGGAGTCCCATATTCAGCTAACTGAAAGCTTTCACTCACCTCTCTCATAGGAAAATACTTACATCATCTCATTCCTATTTAGAATTTCTGGGG